GGTTTAGGGTTTAGGGTTTTTTGGTCGCTTGATCCTGTATCCTTCCGGGCTACTCCTACCCGGGGTGTTGCGCCTGAAAGCCATGGCCCCGTCCTTGCTCACTGTGGACACGGTGTGCAGCTATGTGCCTCGGCGCCACGGGATGTAAGTCAAACCTTGATCCTAGCAGCCCCAATAGACTAGTTCCACAATCCCAAGACGTCTACGTGATGGCGTGCCATCGAGCACCACACCCAACTCCTGTGCCGGATTCCGGCACTTCTGTGAGCGCAGCTTGCTCGCTTGCATTTTAGATCAATCCATAAGCCCTGTTAAGGCCGAAGCCCGAGGTCATGGCGACCGTAAGCCCCTACACCAACCCAGGAAGCGAGAGCTGGCTCGACCTTACCGCTCCCGTCAGGAAACCGTATCTTCCCTCAGACTCGCCCGGCCGGTAGTTTGTAAGCAGCCCCAGCTCTATGTGTTGGCTCTTCCGGAAGCCCAAAGCCCCTTAACCCGAAACGCTGTGAGCCTCAGCCTTGGTGGCGTGGGCTGAACCCTAAACCCTAACTAGACCGTTGAGGTGTTCGTCTTCGCTTCGGGGTTTGAGGTCTAGGGTGTGTTTTCTACGTCTGCCCAAAAAAGCTTTGGCATGTGACAGAGTGGGGAGGTGGGCATCGTACTACTATAGGGGGCCTTTTTTGTTAATGCCAAGACACTTTCAGGGTTCCTTACTGTAGTTGTAGCATCGTGTACCCAAAAACTCTGTTCTAATCATTAAGGCCGCAGTCTTACCTCGTATTCAATCTCTCAGTGTCCGCCGCAGCTTCTCGACCCCTTGCAAAACCCCAAGGTAGCGAAGCCCTGTACTGTAACCATCACTATCTCTTCAGGCCGCATGTATCTGGGCTGGGGCTTCAAGACACAACAAAGACAAGTCTGAGTGGCTGCAGCTACGGGTTTGGACGTATAGGATTCATAAACCAGCTTGAAGGCAACAGACTATGTAGCTCGACACACTAAACTACCATCAAGCCCTAAATCCACGTCCCTTCACAATAGTAAGGTGTCTGGGCATTTGGCCGGTTTGCCCAATGCGCCTCTCCTGAATGGCCGTTCGATGTGATGTTTTTTTTTTTTTTTTCTGATGGCTGCCTCGAAATATGCTCAATGCTCCTGTATTACCACCCTAAACCCAGCATGCCTTAAACCGTCTCCCCCTAAACAACCCTAACACGCCAGACCAGATTGAGATCGAAGAAAGAGGCCCATAAACCCGCAACTCTAAACCCGAAAGTTAAAAGCGGAGCATAACTTAGTCAATCCTGGCACAGGTCGATACGAGGTTTCTGAGCTCGGGACTTTGGTTGAAGCTTCTTAAGACAATTTTAGGATTTAGGGATCGTAGGCCTTTGGGTCTATCTTCTAGATGTCTTTTTCAGATAATAGGGCGTGGGCTTTTAGGTCCAGCATGGGATGATGTTGAGGAGTATCCTTGGTTGCAAGCTGTCCTGGTAACCCCGGACCCCGAAGACAAAGATTGAAGCACCGAACCCTGTGTCCTTAGTGGTATTGTGTTAGCTTGTCGGGTTGCGGTTGCCTCCGCAGTGGAGCTTGCGAAAGGATATTGAATTCTATCATCATCTGAGGGATAGACATTCGAAGTCAGTGCAGTCGTAGCAATAGTGCGTGTCATGGTCTGATAGGAACCCAGGCTTTCTGAGTTCCCTAGCCTTGGAGGAATCATAGACGCCGTGGCGAATGGGAAGCTGAGGGCTGAAGCAAGCCCCGACGAACACACCCGGCAATCATAAACGGAAGCCGGCACACCTTGAAGCTTACGCCGTCAACCCCCGAAGCCATAACACTAAAGGCATAAATCCCCCCACAACTCACATCCCCGGTGGATCCCCTGCTTTCCCAGGCGCCTTTGTCTGCAGGTGCGACGAGAGTAGGAGTTGGGGATGTAGACTCCTCTCAATAAGGTCCCTTTTCAGAGAGTCATAAGTAGGGTTCAGACGTGTCCCCCTTTGAGTGGTCTCCTCATACTACCTGGGAGAGAGAGAGGGAGGGATTTGGGGCTTTACAGATTTGGGTCTCTGGGGCATCCAAGTTGTCAGTTCACGGCTTAGGCTTAGGGTTGAGGGTTTAGGGTTTAGGATTGGGGCTTATAGGGCCCTAAACCCTAAAAGCCCTAAAACTCTAAACCCTAAATGCCTAAATCCCTAAACCCTAAGGCTTAGGGCTTATAATGCCTAGGCCGACAAAGTTTAGGGGTCCCCTTTGACGGTCAGAGCTGAGGATGAAGGCTTCTGACTGAATCTGAGAGGGCTTAGGGTTTCGGGTTTAGGGTTTAGGCTTTCAGGTTTGGGGTTTAGGGTTTCAGGCTTTGGGTCTCACGTTTAGGGTTTAGGGTGTCCTTGTTTAGGGATGTGGGTGTTCGTTTTGGCGCTTAGGGCCTCAGATTGGGGTCCATCAAGACTAACCAAAAATCCTGAGCGCGCTTGAAGCTTGAAGCCCACATGGGGCACACACCCACGTTTAGGGTTTAGGGTTTGCGGTTTAGGGTTTAGGGTTTGGGGTTTAGGGTCTCTTTTTGTTTAGGGTTTCTGCCCAAACCGTGAAGGCCAGCTTGCTGTTGCCACTATGCCTAAACCCTAAACCCTAAACCCTAAACCCTTTTGCGTCCGGTCTGCAGCGAACCCTAAAACCCTAAACCCTAAACCCTAAGCTGGATGAACCTTCCTTAGAAGCTGCTTCAGTACTTCTACAGACAGTCGCCCAACCTGAGAGCTGGCATTCCCTAAAAAAAGGGGTTTAGGGTTTAGGGTTTTGGGGTTTAGGGTTTAAGGTTTAGGGGTTAGGGTTTTAGGGTTTAGGGTTTAGGGTTTAGGGGTTTGTCTTGAGCTTCTTGAGCCGGTTTGGGATAGGGGGAAAGGGAACCCTAATGGAAGACCACACTCCCTCCCACATCCCTTTGCGAATGGGGAGTATGGGAGCTAGGATTCGGGGGACCCTTGGGGATGTAGACCCTCTCAATAAGGTCCCCTTTAAAGGAGCCAAAAGAAGGGTTCAGAAGGGGCACCCCTGATGATACTACCTGGAGTCGAGAGCAGGCTCCGCTCTGACGGCCGATGAGGTGCAAGGCAGCGTGGCCCTGTAGCGCAACATGCGTATAAGGGGATGACCCTAAACCCTAAACCCTAGACCCTAAACCCTAAACCCTAAACCCTAAACCCTGAAACCTAAAAGAGTTCTGAATTCAGGAAGGCCTGGTTGCTTCAGGCGGACGGGCTAAGCCAATGCACTGAGAGAGCAAGCTACCATAGCCCGGCCCCAACAACAGACGCCACGAAACCCTGAACCCTGAACCGGCCTAAAGGGGGCTAAACCCTAAACCGTCCACAAAACCCTATGAGGTGATCATGCAGAAGCAAGCTTCAATAGCTGGAAACTCGTCCCTCCCATTCCGCCGAAACTCACAGACCCAGAGAAGGTTTACAGGCGCAGGCGTATGCATGGATTGCTTGGCCTGGGGCTTAGAAGGGTTTAGGTTGTTAGGGCTTAGAGGCTTGGTGCTACGTAAGTGTAAGTGTCAGACGCGGAAGATCCGAAGGCAGCCTTTGGCAGGTAAGGGTGGTCCGGTCGTTTTGTTGGTCCGATCGGCGGTCCAAGCGGCCGGTGTGGTCAAGGAGGATGGTACTGGGCTAAGGAGATTTACAAACTCGTGGAATTGCCAGTCCACTAGACTCAGCTAGTCTAGCCAGTTTGGGTGGATCCCGTCAAAACGGAGCTCGTGCTCGCGTGTTCTGTACGCTTTCATCAATGGGAGCGGGCCACCCGAGCTATTCACATTCAGGGATTAAAGCCTCATACCACTGTGTGCTATATACCGCTTACACAGCCCAGAATGAAGCCGATATGCCCGCCTCCAGGTGGGAATCTCAACTATGCCTTTGCTGTGCGAGATGCTTCCGGCAAAGGCGTCTTCGTCAAGCAAGCGCCGGACTACATCAAGGCCCTTGTGGGGCCAAAAGTTTCTGCGTGTGCATGGTTTGGGGTCTGCGAGACATGGAACACGTGGCAACCCACTGAAGCGTCAAGCCCGGAGACTTCTGTGCCCATGCAGCCCTCAACAAACGAAAGCTAAGCAACTCCCTTTCGACATTGGTAAGTCGTCAGACAGCGACTGCTCTTCTTGGATGCCTACTTTCGGTCCAGCTTGCAAGTTTAATTGCATCCTGCCGACGGCGATGACGATGACACCCCGTTGCGACGACTACCAAGACCACTGCAACCTGCTCGTACGAGGACCACCACCACAAGAGCAAAACAGCGCGCGGAAGAACGACGGAAAACAGTGGAGTAAGAAGGGCACAGCCAAAAGGTCTACACACGCAACAGCACACTGAGAAGCCGCAGTGTCAAGATGATGTTTGTTTCGGCCGAGGTGCTAGGGCCGGATGCGGCGCTCACGCGGGAGCGCATGCGGCTGGAGGCCCACGGTGCGGTTTTTGGGGGTGTGGGGTTTAGATTATGAGTTGCGGGTTAATGTAGGGGCCCAAATAATTACTTATACTATTTTGGGGTTCCTTATTATAATTAATTAAAGAGTATATTATACCCCGAAACCCTTTTCAAATTTGGGAGGCCCCTACATTACTGTAGGGTTTTTTGCAGTGAATTCAACTTGGGGCCGACGGGGCTCTCAAGCGCGAAGCCAGCAAGCAATGAGATTCAGCAGAACCTACCTATAGTCTTCATTGTAATTCCTTTTAGGGCTTTTGGGTTTAGGGTTTAGGGCGTAGGGTTTTTGGCCAATTATGTATGAATATAAGGTATCCCCAAAAAGGAACTACCATGGAGACGATAGGTAAACCAGGAACATATCCCAAGGTACAGGTCTATTCGGAGTGGACGCGGAGCGCCTTGGAAGCACACTTGGTGGGAGGGTCGGGGGACTTAGTAAGTAGTTATTTTATAGAGTTTAGGGTTTAGGCTTCTAAGTATCATAATTAGGATCCCTATCAGGGTACTTATAAGTCTACCCTTTTTACCCACTTACTAAGTCCCCCGACCCTCCAGGTGAGGCTCACCTCAGTCTTCCAAAGTGCTTTCGGCTCTTCGGCGTCCGATTTGTCAACAACGTTCCAAGCCGTTCCGGTTTCTCCGTCGATTGATGGAGGATGCAGGTACTGTTGCAGTTCAGGGCTTGGGGCTTGGGCTTTAGGGTCATTCGTTACACCAGGAAGGGGATGATCTTTTAGCTACAGTCTCATCGGCAATACACAGGTCGGAGGGCCCTAAACCGCGAAGCTTGCAAGAGCCAGGGCTGCAGACGATCCTCGTGGATAGCCGAGAGGCAAGGAACCCCTGAAATCCTCTAAGCCGGCTCCTATCCGAATAGGCATGCCCCAGCTGCTATACCCATCGGCCCCATAGTCGTTCCTTTTTGTGGCTTAGATTTAGGATCCCACTAGGTAGTCCCAAAAAGGAACTACCATGGGGCCTATGGGTAGGGCCTAAACTCTAAACCCTAAACCCCTAGACCAACTCCTATGAGGTCCCGGTGCCGCTGCGTACTTCCCGCGGGTGTGGAAGCCTCTTGGCTCCCAGATCTGCTCCTGGGCGAGGAGTTTGTGAAGAGGTAGGAGCAATATTAAGCATAATTGATCACGGTGATTTTTATTGTAATATGACCAGTAGTATGAGTCATGATATTTTGCGTGCAGAGTATTAGAGTGCATTAGGGTTGCCTTTGTCAGTGAGATGAATACTCATATCACAGAAGAGAAGGGTGTGGGGCCAGCAGTCTTTGCCTGGAGGATTCAGGTTTTGGAGGGTTGTGAACTGAACGCCGCACTGTCGGACATAGCGTGCCCGGGAGGTTCTGAGGTAGTCTTTAGTGTAACTTTCTGAAATCTTCCACCTTGCAAGTTAGAGAACATCGTGCCCCCGCGTTTTGGGCTTGGAGCACTTTTTCTTCTTGCACCCCAGGGCTGGGCTTCATGATTCCTGCTCACTAGGAGTAATATAGGCGCGTTAATAATAAGGCTAAAGTTTTGGGGCCCATTATACTATAATGACAATAAGGAACCACCGAATTAGTATTGATAACTATTTAGGCCCCTACGTTAAGCCTATGCACGCCAGCTCCCTATGCACAAATGCTGTATTCTGCGCCTTCAGCAATGTGTTGTGGCTGTCGAAATGCACGAAGAAGATAAAGGACATGAAGCTGCGAAAGAATGCTGTTTGTCTTATTGCTGATTGATGCAGCTTCTTGCTACTGTGCATCCTGTAACGGTGAACATTACCTGCCACTGCATCTCATCACCATCACCATTTCTTTCGTCACCAGCATCATCATCTTCATCATCAACGTCATCAACATCATCATCATCATCATCATCATCATCCACATCATCGCTGTCATCATCGCGATCACCATGGTGTTCATTTGAGTCGGCCTCCGCGATGTGTTGCACACCAATCATCTCAGTCACCCGTGGCAGAACGCTACAGCCTTGAGCCCGAAAGCTCGGAAAGGATTGCTGTCCTGCAGGTTCGATGAAGACTCCATGGCCTTTATCATGGAGCTTTTGGACAGCCACGAGCTTCTTCAGAAACACCTGTTCCAGGCTTGTTCCTGATGTTGAGGATGTGCGGGCTGCGGCTGCAGGCTTAAGGCTTTGGGTTTGGGCAAGCGGGCTGGTAGAATTCTTGTAAATTCTCTGAGCGTACGTTGTGAATAGGAGGGAGGCTGTACGCTGGGAGGTGCGGCCGGCTTGGATTGACACTTGCGGAGGCCAACCTCAATACTTCGAGATGGGTGGGCGACCTCTAGATTCGATATCAAGGAAACAAAGCTTCAAAGAGTGCCCTCAAAATTGGCATGAGCCTGCAGTCTTTCGTTTATCATCCATGCCAGCTGGCCAAGAACGGATGGGAAGTGCATTTATCGACTTCGGTACTTCGTGCCAGCTTCAGATATTGCTGTTCGGCTTTTCCCTGCTTCTCGCTCCGACGGCTTTCCTCTCCTGGGCATCGACATGCCGGTGAGTTGAAGTTTCAAAGGCAGAATTCATGGTATTGTTCTGGCTTTGCATTTTGACCGGTGGAGAATTCTAGGACCTCCACTTCAAGGGCAATACATCGCCGGATGTTGGAGACTTTTACTGGGGACTACACATAAACAGAACCATGCTTACCCAGAGGTAGCAAGGAAATTGCGCCTGCGCAACCAAACCCTCTAGAAACCCTGTGAAACCCGAGACAAAAGGTGACCAAAACCCAACAAGCCCTTACTGAGACCTTAAGCCTTAAACCCATCCCAGCTGCTGGTAAGGGCGGTTCGGGGTTTTCGCCAAAGGAGCGATCAACTGAGCTTTCTCCTGGGCTGGATAAGACCCGCAGGCGGAAAAAGGAGCTCAAAACCAACAAACCCCTAAACAATCCCAACAAAACCACTGAACGGTTTAGGGTTTAGGGTTTAGGGCCCTGAACCCTAAACCGAACATAGAATGCACAAAAAAGAAAGCTGACATCCGGGCATCAGTGCAGGGCCATGTTCAAGTGGCTGCGGCGAGGTCTTTGGGCGATTGAGCCTCGAATGCGATGAGCTAAGACCTAGTAGTAGAGTAAGTAACCTTTAACCTCTTTGGGGTACTATAGCCCCTATAGAATCCCAATATACTCCCATCTAAACCCCCCAAAAGTAGGTAAGCTAAAGGCCCAAAACCTACACGGGGCTATTATTCTACATACTTTTGGGGTCCAGGCATTGGTTAACCTTCAATTCCCAAGGATACTGGACAAGTAGGAAGAGAAGAGGGGGTTACCTGTACGTAAGGGGCCTTGAGATGAAATGGGTTACTCATGTAATGTAGGGGCTTCAACAAATACTTATACTATTTTGGTCCAACTTTTGGGACCCCTTGCGACAAGTTTAAAACAATATTCCCCAGCACCCTATTCTCATGATTATGAACGGCGTTTACATTATTTGTCGTGAAATGGTTTTGGCGGTGTGCTGTGTCAGGATTTGGGACTGCCAAGTCTAAGGCACAGGAGAATCCGAATTCCTAGATCTGCGACCTTGCGCTTATGCTAAAACCCTCAACCAGAAACCCCGCAGAGACGCTCATAGCCTCATCCGCAACCCTGGCCCCGGTGCTTGTCTTGGCTACCCGGCACTGCAAACCCCAAAACCCCGAATTGAGGGCCCCCAAACTGAGGCATGGCGCAGATGCACAGCAGGAGCCAAGGGTAAATGGCAGAAGCAGGGTCTAGCTTGGGCTTCACATGCTCCGGCGGCAGTCGAAAGATTGGTCTTGATGAAGCAGGTTTCGTGAGAGGTTCAGGGTTTAGGGAGGGCTTGAGAACAAGCAGACAGTCTTATGGCAATGTTGAGCCAAAAATCCGGTTCAATTTTCCCAGGGCTCAGGGCTCACCGAAGCAAGTTCCAGGGTTAACTAGGATTTCCATTCCGATTCCATCGATGCTGGGTTGAATAATGTGCCCTAAACCCCTAAACCCTAAACCCTACCTGGACCCTTAAGAACCTCCCTTTTTCAGGGTTCCTTATTATGATTTCCTTATATAGGTCCTTAAAAAGGTAGGTTCTTTGGGGTCTAGGTATACCCTAAATCCGAAACCTTGTCGGATCCCATGCCTTCGGGATGCTGCGCCCCGTACCATTGCAACCACCTTCGTCTCGTGAGATCAGAAGCAGGAGGGGTATCATCCTAAACCCTAAACCCCTAAATCTTCAAGCCTACGCCCCATCGCAAACCGCATACATGTTGTTGCAAAGCTCATGATTCAGAGTCCCTGCATCGAGGGTTCAGGGTTTAGGGTGCAATGGTTTAGGGGTTAGAAAAGGGTTAGGGTCACAAAAACCGAGACATTAGGACCTACCTCCTCGAGGCATACGCCTCAAGGGCTCAGATCGCATGCGCACTTTTGGGGCTTTAAACCGCTAAATGGGTGGTGCACTCACTCCGAAGCCTTAGCCCTGGGCCCTAAACTGTAAAAGCCCTAAACCCAAAGCCCGTGAGCGTCAGGACTCACTGCTCCAAGATTTCTGCCGAAGAGAGCCAGCGCCTCTCCAAAGCCTACGAGAACCGCCTCTCGGACGCTTAAGGCTTTCAGGGTTTAGGGTTTAGGGGTTTTAGGGTTTAGGGTTTAGGGTTTAGGGTTCAGGGTTTAGGGTTTAGGTTGTGGGTTGAGGGTTCGGGGGGTTGAGGGGTTGAGGGTTTAAAGGGCTTGGGGGCTTGGGGTTTAGGGCGTGTTTGTGATTTTTGAGGGTTCAGGAAAGGGTACCTTACTCAGGGGTCCACATTCGGTAAACGATCCTACTACCTGGGATCTGTAGTCCAGCCTATAAAGCTTAAACCCTAAACCCTACGCCTTAAACCTTAAACCCCGACCCTAGATCTTAAACCTTAAAGTAGGAGGCAACTAAACCCAAATCCCTAAACCCTATAAACCCTAAACCCAAATCCCTAAACCCTTTAATCTAAACAGCTATCTCAGTCGTGGCTCGCCTCACCTTGGCTTGTCCCGAAGCCTCGAGCCCTTCAAGGGCAAGCCCTTAGAGGGGGATATGGGGTTTAGGATTTAGGGGGGATGCCTTAATTTAGGATCACCTCATTCAAAAATCCTTACGGTAAGGATCCTATGAGATGATGAAATTCGCTTCCGATCGCAACGACCACTTCACGAAAGCTGACAAAACACTCCTTCTGAACCATCTTGTTTCTCACCCTAAACCCTAAACCCTAAACTAAGGCACGGCCTCCGTTGTGCTACGCGTAGCCGTGCCGCAGTGACGCGTTTCCCGACGCGTCGCAGGTCCGGAGCCGTCTATCGCGAAGGACCCGCGCGAAGCGAGCGCGCTGCGGCCGTCCAGTGCCGCGCCACCCAGCCCGTTTGC